GGAGTATGGATTTACCCATGTCACGAGCAGCCCCAGATACCCGCAGGCCAATGGGGAAGCGGAGCGGGCCACAGTCAAAAGACTGGGGAAAGGAGGAGGCGACAAAGCAAAGGCGCTACAGACGTATCGTGCCACACCTCTGAAGAGTGGCTACTCCCTAGCGCAACTCCTCATGGGGAGACAAATTCGCTCCAATATTCCACAACTTCCAGCAGCACTGCATCCTCAGTGGCCGAACATCAAAAGATTCCGAAAGGAAGAAAAGCAGGCAAAGGAGAACCAGCAACGCCGCTACAATCTGCGTCACAGAGTTCGCTCCTTGCCACAGCTGCAGACAGGTCAAGTTGTATGGCTGCCAAGAGAGAATAAACAAGGGACGGTCATGCAGAAAGCGACAACACCTACTGTAGGTCTTACATCATTCACACTAACAAAGGACCAGTCAGGCGTAACCGCACTCATATGCGGTCAGTACATAATACACAGCTCCAGACATCTAGGCCTGACACAACTGACACACCTGATGTAACCTCAGTACCAGGTGACACAGATACACACATTCACACCACTAAAGAAACGGATAGCCACACACATACAGATGCAACTGACATATATGTGACATCTTCAGGGCGAGTGTCACGCCCTCCCAGTCATCTGGATTTATAAGAGACTGTTGTGAAGAAGAAAAAACAAAGAGAGAGAGAGAGAGAGAGAGAGAGAGAGAGAAAAGTGAGAGGAAAAAAATGGAATTGAGTTCTATTAATGTTTTGGAAAAAAAAAAAAACAGAGTAATACAATTCAGGTTTATGCTTTTGGGATACCTGTTAGAGTGTGTCACCTGTAAACCCTGTTTTGCTGTTTAGAGGGATTTCTTACTTACTTAAGGGGGAGGTGTTCTGTAAAGGATATAATTGTGTTATATTGATGTTGCAATGGGGACCCATTAGGAGGGGACACACGGGGCTGGTTTTGTCCTGTTATGTGTGGTGCTACAGTAAAGCGTATGAATGTGACTCTGCTCTCCGTCTATTTCTTTCGAGATATAATTACCCGATACTTACCCGTTTGGTGATAACATAACACATACAGTACTACAATGCAATTCTTAATTGAATGCCTCCTTCACAGACTGGACGATTAACCAAATAAAGCAGCGCAACATTACAGTAACTAACAATAAATAAATCACTAACTTACGTGTACTATTAGAGCATTTATGTCATTTATTTAAACTTTATTTTACAAGGTAAATTAATTGAAAACGGGGCGGCATGGTGGTGCAGTGGTTAGCACTGTTGCTTCACACCTCTGGGACCTGGGTTCGAGTCTCCGCCTGGGTCACATGTGGGTGGAGTTTGCATGATCTCCCCGTGTCGTCATGGGGTTTTCTCCAGTTTCCCTCCTCAGTCCAGAGACTTGCTAATTGGAGTTACTAAATTGGTGTGAATGGTGTGTGAGTGTGCCCTGTGATGGGCTGGCCTCCTGCCTCATGCCCATTGCTTCCAGGATAGGCTCCAGACCCCCCACAACCCAGTAGAATAAGCAGGTTGGACAATGGATGGATGGATTAACTGAAAACCAATTCTCACTGCTGTACGTAATATTCAGGAGAAATAGCAGATTACACATCGGAACTGCCAGGGATACAAATGTCATGCAGGTAACTAAACTCTTCAGTCAATAAGGGCAACGGTGTGTCATCACGGAGGCAGGTCCAGTTTGTGCAGCCGGGTGAGAGCCTGAGAGGTTGCAATGCATCTAACCGTAACGCATTGCGTCAGGATCAGAATGCGTTGCTTTAAGCCAGCGCTGTAAGCAAGTCGAATGCACCAGACTGAGGAAACAAACTGAAATGCGGACTTAATCACATGAGGTTAACGAGGGGGTGTGGCACACAGAGCAGACAGACAGGACAGGGGTAATGTTGGGATAAGATCTTTATCATTTTGGAAGCCATTAAGAAAAAAATTCTGCTCTTGTTTTATCCTGTTCATTTTGTGTTCAAATGCTAAAAAACAAAAAACATATTTAGGTGTAATTTTGGGGGGCCGGGAACCAATTAATTGGTTTTCCATTATTTCTTATGGGAAAAATTCGGTCAGAACTCAAACTTTTTAGGATTGTTTCACCTGAGTTGATTTATATAACAAATAACATTACTTTACTGTATACAGTTGTTAAAAAGCGGAAACTTCAAGGAACATCACCTGAAATCACCTGAAAGAGAGGAGAGTTGACTTTTGGCTCTATACACTAAGAGAATTGTAGCCTTGAGGTAATTATTTTGATGTTGAAAATGCTAAAATAGAATGGTTGCACTTCCTGCTACTGATAGCCGTTGAGAAGTATGTTTCCAATATTTGGATTTTTTTTTTTCTTCAGAATGGGTTTAAATCCCTGATACCATTATTGGTGAAACATTAAACAGCGACCAATAGCAAATATTACAAATATTTGTTTTTATATTTTTATTTTAATATTCAGAGTGAGGCCTGGTGGCTTTATTGCCAATGCACTATTTCTTTGAAGTGATTTTATTTTTGCACTAATGGCACTACTGATTTTACAGTACTCAGTTTCCGGGTAAATAAACATATGTTTGTGTTTCAAATAAGAGTGAAATCTGTGTATTTGTGTACTGCACAGTCAGACCTTAACACCATTCCTTAACATTGGTTTCATTTCGTCCTGGTGAGCATAATGACTTTCAGAAATCGAACGGAAACGTTAAACATTACACTTTGCACTTTTAATTTTAGTCGACTAAATCAACTGTAGTTTTAGTCGACTGTAATCTTATGATATTTAGTCGACTAAAACTAAAATAATTTGGATGACTAAGTTATGGCTGAAACTAAATTACATTTTAGTCAAAAGACTAAAACTAAAACTAAATAAAAATGTGCTGTCAAAATTAACACTGCTCAGAACCTGTGAATGTAATCAAACAACGAAATTATCCAAAAGTCTTATATTTTGTTTGGTTACTTATGGTTCAGGTTAGAGCTGGGTAAGAGATAGAGTTATCTTAATTAGGATTAGGGATATGCCCAGAGAAACGACAATGACAGTCCTGTGACTGTCAAAGGACAGTTTACATGTGTGTCACACGTGTGTGTCACAGTAATGGGACAGAACTGTGATAATATGTATGCTTTTGAAACAGAAATGTCTGTGTTTGTGTCACCAGAGGGATAAAAATTCCTGTTTGCATGTGTGTCACTGTCTGTAAGTATTAGACAGATGTGAGAGAAATGCTTGTGCATATAGGCTGTAAACCCTCATGCTCATGCATTTTAGTCTCTGTAAGTGTTACGTTCCGGCTGCTGTCAGGTGCAGCATAAACGCACTCAGACCCAGGATGGCTCGATTGTCAGGGGTTATTTATTAACAAAGAGCACAAACAGGAGAGAACATAACAGAAAAGTGTATGTGTGTGTGTATATATATATATCAGGATTACTAATGGAACAGAATTTATGCTTCTTTCTGGTAACTGGTAATCACCTACACTGCATCATTGATGATCAGGAGTTTTTTTGCAACATCACAAAATTTTTGTTGTAGTACTAACGTGGTTTATTAAGATTTCATGTTATTTATCTTTACTTAGTTAACATATGATTAATGTGATTATATTACTTATCTTTACCTCAGGACCGCTGTAGGTTTTGAGTTAATAAAATGTCTGCCGTCTGGCGCCCCCTGCTGGCCAAAGCATCGCCGCTGCGATATCAGGCTGCTGCGCTCAGTCACCAGAGAGCGCGGATTAAGTGTGTTACTCAGTTACGCTTCGGGCAGCGCTGAACCGGGACATAAATAGGATAGAATAGGAAGCCTTTATTGTCAGTGTACAGGTAGCAAATACAAAATACAGACAGAAATATATAAAATGTACATATAGAGGGGAGGGGCAAAGCTCCCCCCCACTCATCAGGATTACATTTAATTTTATTCAGAATCAGAATTCACTTTATTGGCACAACTGCATGTACTATTAATTTTTTTTGGCAGTTTTTGTGCATTCACAGTCAACATAGAACATAAGTCAGAGAAAAACAGTCATTTTACATGAGTCTGGCAAGCTGAACAAACATTCATTTATTTCTGACTGACATAAATCTCACTTCAGACAGAGTAAAAAGATTTATACTGGTTAAAAAGCAGAGATTTTACCTTTTTGCCATGGAGAAGCAGCGACATGTGACATATCATTACATTTTATTTTATTCATAATCAGAATTCACTTTTTTGGTACAGCTGCATGTACTATGATTTTGTTTTGGCAGTTTTTGTGCATTCACAGTCAACATAGAACAGAAGTCAGAGAAAAACAGTCATATTCTGCATGGGTTTGGCAAGCTGAACAAACATTCATTTATTTCTGTCTAACATACGTCACACTTCAGACAGAGTAAAAAGGGTTATACTGGTTAAAAAGCAGAGATTTTACCTTTTTGCCATGGAGAAGCAGTGACATGTGACACTCTGATAAGGTAAAAATGATTCCTCCAGCACACAGTGAGCTATCCCAGCATGCACAGGGACACGGAGGAGTTTATATAAACCCTAAACCCTGGACAGAGGGGTTCAGTGAATGAGGAGGTGAAGCTGTACAGGAGGGTCAGTCCATCAGAGGAGACTCTGTAGAAGGACAGAGTACCAGCCGCCCAGTCCAGATACACTCCTACTGTGTGGGGGCCTGAGGGCTTTATGGGTATGACAGTCTGTTTATTATTGTGCCAGACAGAGTAACTGTCAGGAGAGCAGCACAGACTCCATGACTTGTCATTGGCTCCAAGCCCACAGTCAGTACTGCATCCTTTCCTCCTGATTCCTTTATAAGTCACTCCTATCCGGGCTCCATCTCCACTCCACTCAGCCTCCCAGTAACAGCGACCAGTCAGACTCTCTCTGCACAGAACTTGGGGCCGGCAGTCAAATCTCTCTGGAAGATCAGGATATTGCTGCTCTTCCCCCCGTGTCGCCTTCCTGTTCCTCTTTGACAGGGACAGGTCTCTGTTTGCTGTGTTGGGGTCCAGCGTCAGCTGGCAGGAGTCTGTAGGCAGGAGGAAGAGCGATTAATCCCATCACGAAGCCCAGCATCTCCATCATTATCACTGTCACACCTCACACACTCACTAACACAGAACTCGCTCCAAAACACACATTTTATTCCCAATATACTCAAGTAGCCGCCCGAGTCTGCGGCGCTCCGGCTGCCCCCTGCGCTGTGAGACACGCCGCGCTGAGAGACTCGCTGGGGACCGAACTGCACTTTAGCCTGCGCTCTATTATTCTGTACGATACACGGAGGGAAGACGCGCCAAAATGATGCGCGTGTTAAACTAATAGGCTAAATTCCAGGTAGATAAAATTACAAACAGCATTTATCAAACATGTTAAACATAAAATTATACGACACAGATTACCACTAAAAGTGAGTTTGTCTTTACGTCACAATATGAACTTCTTTCAAACCACTTTGGACACACACCTCTCTCCAGCAGCGAGCCGACGCGATGCTCCCAACGCGGACGCGGACGCATCTACGCTGGTTCTCCGCAAAGCGAAACACTCGCGTATCTGCACTGCGCATGCGTACACAGAAACGTTCATAGTTCTCCGGTCAAGCTGTGTACTTTGCTCTTGTCATATTTAAGTATTATTATTAGTAAATTATTATTCTGATGTTCCCTGCACACGTACCACAGCAGTGAGGTCTGTGTATATTTCCCTACGTTTTACAAATTCTTTTTTTTCCCCCTCCACCACCCCCCCTCTGCGGAAGACTGCTTTATTTCTATTTAAATATTGATTTATTTATCTATCCATTTATTTATTTGTTTTTATTTACTTCCTCATACTTTCTCAAGAGAAGGAGAGGGAGCGAGAGGGGGGTAAAAAATGAGAAGAAGGGGGATAGAGAGAGAGAGGGAGAGAGAGAGAAAAAGAAAAAAAAGTAAAAACTGAATCTGCTTCAATGTCTGCTGAAGAGAGAAAACAACAACCAACATCTGTACGAATCACATCGAAAATCAAACGTTAAATGTTATTGAACAGC